AAAAGCCTCTGAAAAATCGAAGAAGAAAGAGAAAACCCCCCCGTCCGCCAATTCCCATGTCTTTATTCCCGTTAAACTCGCAGCTCTCGCGCCTTGTAGAAATCTTAATTAGTTCCGTGTGATTATTATGTACGATCTTGCTCTGGTCGAGGATTCATTTCACCGCAACAATTTTTGTTTATGGGGTTGTCACGGCAAGAATTCTAATGTTGGGCTTTCTTTTATTATTGCTTCATTCCATGATTATTTGTTGTAACATTAGTAGTAAATTAAAGAAATATATCTATGTGTAATAGTTCTTCGTGGACATATATTTCAGTTATGAGGAGGCCTTGAATCTTGAAATTGTTGTTTTCGGTAGTTAGGATTTTCATTACAGTCCTTTTTCTATTATTAATATATTATGGGTAAATTACAACCATCCCCTGAGGTATGGTCAAATTAAGAAAACCCACCTCTTGTTTGGATAATGACATCTACCCCTCAACTATGAATCTTCTTACACCTTCACTCTTGTGGTGTCGAATTCAACATAATCATCTAGATTCCGTGGAATGTGCTCTAGTTTGTACTCGTTTTGTGTAAAATTACAGTTTCTGATGCAACAAAATCTGATATATACAAGCAAAAAAAAAACACATCTTATGATCATCTTGCTTCAAAATGTAAAGCTCGAATGGGATAAAACGAGTACAAAAGTGATAATATTCCATATAATCAAGAATATTCCACTAAATTTGAAACTGCAAGGGTGGACGTGTAAGAAAATTTATAATTGAGGAGGTTGTTGTAATTACTCAAACAAGAGAGGGGTTTTCGTAATTTTACCATACCTCAGGGTGGTTGTAATTTGCCCATATATTATTTAATTTTTTACAGCGAAGAATTCGATTTTAAAATTATGATGTTTCGGGCTTTTTAAATGTGTCATTTGTTGACCACTTGACGAAACATTTGTGAGAAAATGATTTTTAATTCGTTCATATTTGAAACATAAAAATTTCTTAATCAACGGCTATCTATAAATATTAAACACCACCTTTTAATAAAAAAAAAAAAAAAAATCAATCCACCACCTTCAATTCTCTATTTTACCCCTTCCGTCAAAAATTTCAATTCACCATCAAGATGCATTTCGCAGGCGAGGAGGATTCGAACCCCAGACACTGCAGTTTGTAGCCACGTGCTCTAATCATTTGAGCTACAGGCCCCACCCTATTTCTATTGGATCTGTTCCCGTAAACACCCTTAAAAAAAGAACATTTCCTCTCCTCAACTATTTCAGATTAATAAGATGTGAAAACGCATTTATCTCTATAAACACGGTACATTCGGAAGTGTGAAATGGGAGAGAAGGGATATCATAATTAGCGTATTGTCTCAAAACTTTCAATTCACCATATCAAGATGCATTTCTTACATGATCTACTTTTGATTTTTAAATATACTTTTTATTGGTTCATCTCATTTCCCTCAAATATAGAAAAAGAATGAAAAGAAAAGAGAGGTGAAAACGCATGGGAGTAGGGTACACTATATGTATGTGTAACAATAATTCATGGGCCTCTTACTATTTATTAGAGAAAATATTAACCTATGATTATAACTTTTAAGTACATCGAAATCAATAAATACTATTAAATGGGATTTGAGAATAATATGTGATTCTGTAAATGAAAAGAAATAAAATTTCTTCATCAAGACATTTAGTTATGTAAATTTGTGCTTTTGAAAATTGAAACAAAGATAAAATCAGACAATCTACAACAAGCTTAGCTAAGTGGTATGAAAAAAGTTACACTATATTATACCTATATATTTATTTAGTCCCCACCTATTTTTTTGTTTAATTTAACCCATCCAAATTTCATATTGCAAAAATGTCCTAAAACATTATGCGAACTGCACGCCGGCACATTTTATCTAAGGCGTATTTTTGTAAATTAGGCGAACTGCTCCTGTCAACATTGATAAATTAATAACCTCACTTAAATAATATTTTTTCCTGTCCCGACTAGGGGGCAACGTGCTAAATTAATTATTCTCTAAATATATAAGGTAATGCACATTCAAAAAATTTAAGAAGCCCCATATAATATATAAATTAATAATGGTATAAAAATAATTCTTAAATTACGTGGTACAATATATATTTTATAAATCTATGAAGGTTTAATAAAATATTATTTAATTGTTGTTTGTTTCTTGTTTAAGTTCACATCACCATCAATCTCTTTCCTCACTTTTCTTAATATGATTAGAATTTTTAATATAGCTCTCTCATAACTCAACAAAAATTGTTCAATACCATTGTTGTCTTAAGAGCTCCCGTTCGAGAAATGTGTTATATAGTACATTGAACTAATGATACAATAAATAATATATACGTAAAAGAAATTACAAATTTATTTATTGACCATCATAATAACATTAATTTCATATTAATAAGTTATTACTCCATATATTACTAATTATTACTTTATTACTACGTCCATAATTTGCTAAATTACTAGGATTTTGATGGTCTTACCT